GTGTGGCCAACCTTATCATTAGCCAATGATATGTTTTGAATCCGTGAGTGACATGGGAGTCAGCCAATCAGCTTCCAGCTGGAGTTGGTGGCCCTGCCCCTTTATAGCCCCTGCACAGGTAGCATAGCGACACCAGTAAAACATCTGAATGTAAAAATTGGTAAAAAAAAAAATTAGTCACTGGAAAGTCTAAATACGTGTGTCAGCAAACCAGCAAAGTGACATCAGCTCTGGATGTCACTGGATCTTTATTAACCGGAGAGAGGTAATAACCAGGCTTGTTTACCTCCGTGAGTCTGCATACGGGGAAGGGAGCTCCTCTTATTTCCCTTCACGCAAAGGTGGAGGCGGAGAAGCATTTCATGCGTGTGTGTGTGTGTGGCAAAGAAAACTTGAAACTTGAGTAGCATCGCAGATTTCTTCAGACGCGTTCACAGCAGAGCTGATGACGTCCATCAAGCTAACACTTTCTTTACAGTGTATTTGGCGATGTAATCTTTACTCATATCGTTGTAGTTAATTTGCGCACAGGTAAATTCCAGAATAAAAGAAAGTGAGCATACATAAACTATACGGACAGGAATACTGAGTTAGATTGGCCGACACTGAGTCCTGACCTCAACCCCATCAAACACCTTTGGGATGAACTAGAATGGAGATCGTGAGCCAGGCCAACATCAGTGCCTGACCTCACAAATGCTCTTCTGGATGAATGGGCAAATTTGAAATGGGCATTTCCACAGATACGCTCCAAAATGTTGTGGAAAACCTTCTTAGAAGAGTGGCAGCTGTTATAGCTGCAATGGGGGAAACGACTCCATACTCATGCCTATAGATTTAGGATGGGATGTCAAGTTCCTGTAGCTGTAATGACTAAGTGTCCCAATACTTTTGTCCAAATAGTGTATAAATCACTTGGACCTCCGCAGGCACCCAGAATAGATGTCATAAAGCATTAGAATACTGTCTAGAACTCTAGAAAAATTCCATTTTATGTTTTGTTGCTGGCAGAAAACGTTGACGGCTATAGGACCCCCCATTGGTGTTAAAGTCAGCTGGTGAATTGGTTAGTAAGGCATAATTTACATGATTTTCACATTCAAAAAGTCATCCATTAATCCTCATTAACCTCTGTGGATGTAATATTGAAATCCTAGAGCATTAATATAGAAATGCTTCACCATAGGATGAACACAATGTCTCAGAATTGCTGTGCTGTGCTCAGAATTTAAACCATGTCAGAACAATGTCGCCCACGTTGTAACAGAGTCAGAAAACACCTTCTTCGTGGGAAATAAGCCATTGGGCCTGCAGGTTGTGCTGTTTGCTTGACACGCTCTCATCCACTTGTTCAGGACAGGCTGATGGATGACTGATCTGACCACATGACTCAGGAAGCCATGGTGTGTGATATTCACACCACCCGACTCATAAACATGCACTTCAGGTCTGCTATTGTGAAGTTCTTGACAAACTGTATCTGATGAAACTGCTGATCACTCGACGATAACATATTTGTGTGATGGCATGTGGCGGGAGAGGAAGATGAACATCACCATTTGGGAATGTTCCATCTCTGCCTCAGTCGTCACTGTAAAAATGGAATTTTGTTAATAAGAAAAAGATATTGACAGAAAATTCCATCATCTTACATTACTGCTTTAGTGATAATGGACTGGACCACGTAAGGATATTATTTCACTTGCCAATAGCTATGAAGGCATCATTTATCCACTTGCTTATAATGTATACTTCTCAACAAATAGGGCAATGTGCTGAAAAACACAATGATCATTGGTTCGAATCCCTGGGAATGCACGTAAACAAACCGCAACCCTTCCTCCTACTGTAAGCTGTTTGGGATAAAATTATCAGAAAAATGTGAATGTAATGCTTTAAGCATCAGACCCCTCCAGAGAGGTATTCCATAAAGCAGGATTTCTTGCTTAGCCAGATAACTTATCATTGTCGTGTTGTTGTGCTATACGTAAGTCAACGAAGATACAGTCCATTTAGAGCAGACTATCTTAAATCCAAGAAGTTATCCGGCTAAGCAAGAAATCTCATTTGGTGGAACACACCCCAGAACTGAGGGTCAGAATGATGTGGGGGTACAAAAATCTGAAGTTTGCTGAATTGGCGTTTCTACATTATAAATTCACTTCCTAACCCTGGTCAAGGTCACAAGGGGCTGGCCAATGAAAAACCTGTATCTCCTAAAATCGATTATTTCCGGAGGTTGCAAAAAACCTGAAGCTAATTTATAAAATAAACTGAAAACAACACGAGGCAGCCTTACCATCAGCGAACGGTTTCGTGTTGTAAATGGACTCAAGTGGATTGTTGTCAGAGACATGAATAAGTCAGTGTCAACAAGATACAAACTAATCTCGCTTTATATTCACAATTCTTAACACAATGATGTTAATTTGCTAGCTATTTAGCTATCGCTGTTATGTTGCGAAAAAAAAGAACTCAATAATGTAACCTATACAAACGACCATCATTAATGCAAATGTTAAGTAGTACAAGCAACAATATTAGTTAAATAGATGACTTTATGTAACATTTCTTCATTGGTTAGTTAGATGTCAAACGCTATCAGTGGACTGATAGGAGAATGGGCGTATTCCATCTATATTTTTAAAAAATCACCGTTGTGAAATACATAGCATGCAGTTTTCCTTGGACGGGGACAATATTCAAATAGGTGCTTTTTTTATTGATGTATTTGTATTTATGATGCGTTAATGTGCATTATGACGATTTATAACGATTTATGCACATTAAGTTTGTTATTTGATAGGCCACACAGAGCCTGCAACAGGCCTGAAAGTGCAGCTCGACAAGGTTCCCGGTCAGCGGAAGGCACGGCGCCTGGGAGCAGGGTTAAGGCGGCACATTGCATGCTCACGCTGTTGACATTTCAGTAATTGCTTTCCCTTCAGAAGGTATGGACACCTTTTGGGGGAGTTCAGAAGTCATCAGGAATCTCATCTGTCGGCCATTCCTGGGTCAGCGGCTTAAGGTGTCTTTTAATGTGTTAGCGATGTCACATGTTCGTGCATCGGTCGCGAAAATCGCTTAACGAATCAACTAATTTAGTCACATTCCTGAGTTTCAGGCCGTCGCTCGATTTTCCTTTGATGCTGCCACAGATTTCTTGCTGTGGAGACGCATACCGGCTGTGGGAGGTCATAACTGCTTAAACTTGGAAAGTGTACAGTTGGCAACACAGCAGCAATAGTTTTTAACGGCGTGGGAAAGAGTGTATTAGAAAAAAAAAAGGCCTATAGTTTGGGGGAGATGCTACCTGTTCTATATACAGCTCTAGAAAAAGTTAAGAGACCACTCTATGTTTTTTTAAATATCTGCATTTTTAAATTCTGGTCCTGCTGGCAGAAGGCTACACTGCGAGGGAGGTTATTTCCAGGTTCAAAATGTCTAAGACAGCAGGACACAGGAACAAGGTGAAGCACGAGGCACTGGGAACGACCAGAAGCCAGCCAGTTAGAGGGCAGAAGTGAGTTTCTACTGCCAGAGATGACTGTCAACTTACCCGGCAGTGCCTCAAAAATCGGAGGATGACCTCAAGTGAAAATGGGAAAAGGAATGGGAAACATTAATTGTGGGTGTGAAGTGCACTGCTAGGACAGTTCATATCAGGCTCCTAGAAGCAGGATTGAAGTCCCATAAAGCAAGGAAGAAGCCCTTCATTAATGAGAAACAGGGAAGAACCAGGCTGCAGTTTGCAGTTTATATATATATATATGTGTGTGTGTGTGTGCGCGAGCGGGTGTGTGTGTGTGTGTGTGTGTGTGTGTGTGTATTTTTACATCTCTACTGCTTAATATTGGCAGTACTTTGATCTAGCAAAAAATATATATGAATGTATGTATAAAGGAATATATATATAGAGAATAATGAAAAAAAAATGTAATCGATGCCACCAATACCACTCTCTGCGCTGTATGTCAGTGTATCAGGGTCTCAATAGTCCAGTCATATGTGTATAATGTTGACATAAGGCGAGACAACTGAATGCAGGGTGCATTCAGTTTAAAAATTATTTCATTTTTCATTCTATTTATTGTCTTTTGTATCCCTCTCTTGATTATATGTTTAATTGTTTACCTCACGCACCAAAACAAATTCCTCATACATTTTTCACTTGGTGAGTAAAAGGGTTCTGATTCTGATTTCTGATTCTGCATTCTGATTCTGCATTTTGATTCTGAATTCTGATTCGGCGTTCTGATTCTGCATTCTGATTCTGAATTCTGATTCAGATTCTGAAGCACAGGGCACAGTAATGAGCAGCTGGTAAGGTACAGCAGCACGGAAAGGAAGGATAGCTTCGGGCACAGACCTGTACAGGAATGAAATGAGGCTGTGTGTATCCACACACTCGACCTGCCAAGATCTGTTTGCTTGCCTGTAGACATCACAGCATCTGAAATATAGAACAACATGTTCTGGAATCCTTCTTGGGGAGATCGTTTTGAAATAGCTCAGGACCTCAGTGTTGAGGTGCAGTGGCATGTCTGTGTAAAAAGTCCTCATTCTTTTGGACCACAAATGACATGAAATCCCAGCTCTGTATCAACTAAGAATGACATTTTGTTCATGTCCGAGGCCAAGGATCACTTAATGGGTCATAACAGCCTCGGTTAAAATATTTAATGCATGAATACAACAAGGACTCTGGCAATTTAATATAGAAGGTTTGGGCGATGACTAGTTCTTCATCTACAGCTATAAAAATGCAGCTTGGTTACTAAATCTCTGTAATGCCAAATGGTGATCTGAGTTCAATTTAAAATTTAATATTTTCAATATGACTTCAATTTAATGTCTGTTTCTATAAGATACTTTATTTGTGAGGAACATGTACTGCGATGCAGAAAATTACTTGATATTTAAATAGAATCTTTTCAAAATTTTACTTAATTTTTTTATAAAGAAAATGTAAGTCGGAAGAGATCAGTGACAATTGAAAAGATATTTTATGCATACTTTATTAATATTTCTTCTCTGAAAGGAGAATTCTTAACAGCAACTGACCCATTCGTGAAAGCGCATTCAATGTGTTTTGAAGCCAAAACAGTCACTTTATTTAGCAAACACAATTACAAAATAGAAATTACCACAAAATAATGAGTTGCATGTAAAACACATTTAAAAAATTATGCCTACTCAGTAGGTAACTACGTACAACATTCCAACCCTGAAGATAATTACATTTCTGATACAAAAATATAGGTATGAAATTTCCTTTTTTGGTTACATTCTAGTTGTGAAATTGAGACCTCAAGTATTGTCTAATTGCCCCTTAAAATCCTACGTATGTAATAGTATCATTTCAGATGCGTCAAATCTGTTCATGTACTTTAAATTGTGACATTTAACAGCCAGAGTGGCATTTCAGAAGGCACCAAAACTGCAAGTTTCTCTTTCAAACAGATCATTTCTCTTTGTAACATAATGCCTAATCATGTGAAGAAAGGGGAGAGATTGAACCTGTCATATTTACAGAAAAGAGAAAATTAAATGACAACGATTCTCGCACATGCTTGTTGTACACAGACCTGAAATGAATCGCGACAGGGAGGAAATATTCATAAGCTACATGTCAGCTAACTCTGAATTGTACAATGTAAATATGCGAAAACATTTCACATTGATAGTACCGACGGACGTAAAGCAAAAACATGGCACATTTACGACATACGAACACCTTATGTATATCGTAGAAGTCTCTAAATGCGTATCTCTGCTTAATTGTCCTTGAGTTGGAGATGCTAAGCAGACAGAGAAGCCAAGAATCTCTCAATCTTTTTGTCTTTAGAAAGTCTATTTTGCGTAAGAAGTGGAGAGGTCTCCTTTTGTCGTATTTGTGTTTGAAGACGAGGGATGAGCCGGGCAAAAAGTGCTTTTCCAGTTTTGTTTTTTTCCGTCATTTTGTCCAGAACTGAGAGTCGTGTAATCTGAGGACCTCAGCAGATGTCAGTTGTTCTTGGGGAGACGGTGGACTGGCCATCGGGGCTGTTGACCGGGGGGCTGTACAAGGCGGTAGGGAGGGTGGAGGGGAATGTGGCAGCTACTTGGGTGGAGAACGTGCCGGATGGGTAGGCGGTGGCAGCGGACTGGGTCGGATAGGAGCTGTGTACTGGTGAGGCATAGCAGGAGGGTACTGGGGAGGGGTAAGAGGAGACAGGGGAGGGATAAGATGTGACGGGGGAGGGGTAGCTGGATGCAGGTGAGGGCATGGAGACGGGGCCCACCACCTTCTCCACCTTCTTCTCCTTCTGCCGCAGGTGGATCTTGGTGTGCCTCTTGCGCTCGTCGCTGCGGGCGAACTTGCGGCCGCAGACGTCGCAGGCGAAGGGCTTCTCGCCGGTGTGCGTGCGGATGTGCGTGGTCAGGTGGTCGCTGCGGCTGAAGTTGCGCATGCAGATGCGGCACTGGAAGGGCTTCTGGCCCGTGTGGATGCGGATGTGGCGCGTCAGCTCGTCCGAACGGGAGAAGCGGCGACTGCAGCTCTCCACGGGGCAGGCGTAGGGGCGCTCGTGGGGCGGCGTCTTGCTGGTGCGGTTGGGGTACTTTCGGACCTGCCGGGGCTTGGTTACCTGCGACTGTTCCACACACTTTAAGTCCTGTGATCCCGTCTGAGAGGCGAACGCCCGAATGGTGGACAGGGGCGTGAGACAGAGCTGCCCCGATTGCGACTGGAAGGGCTTTTGATCAGGGGGCACCAGACTGGAGTCGGTCTGTTGTTGGGGGAAGAGGTAGTCAGGGATAATGGGGACCGGGAAGCTGGTGGTCTTCCCGCCCGCGTAGGCTGGGGGCGGATATGGGATGGCACAGCCTGTGGGGCTCGGGAATGCCTGGCTATGCTCCGGAAGAAGGTTGGAGTTGCTGGCGGCCTGGGTGGGCGCGGCGGAGTAGATGGGGTTGGATTCCCCATGGTGGGCGGAGCAGCTCATGTTGGCCTGGCAGGAGGAGCTGACCGAGGAGGTGGACGAGGAGGAAGCAGAGGGGTTGGAGATCCCCATCAGGCCACTGACCAGGCTGAGGAGGGGCTCGGGGCAGAGGCTGCCCCCGCAGGTGGCTGTGGGTTCGAGGGTGAAGCGTCCAGTGTAGGAGAGTGGGGGCAGGCGCTGGCTGGGGTAGCTCTGCTCCACAAAGGACTTCTCGTAGCTGACCGCGATATCTGGCAGCGTGTCTGCAAGGGGGGGGTTACAAAAAAAATAGGGGGAGTTAATAATGATCAGCAGTGGGTCCAGCTCCATGCCACTCAGAACTCAAGCCAGCGTGGAGGAGAATCCCGCTGGCAGAAATTCCCAAGCCGACCCGATATCGTCTGACGCAACATTGGAACATCCCCCCACTCAGTCCGTCCCAGAGCAGCCTGGGGTCTAACGCATCACGCCTGTCCTGACTTTCTGCTGCCTAAGCGCTCTTAGTAATCAAAGCTGCACAACTGCCCCTTACTTATTGCTCTAAATAAATGCAAGATCAACATTTAGACCCCAGCACATTCTGCGTATCATTAATACCCTTTGGTGTACTTGTCTACAAATTAACTAAAAGAATGATAAGCTGCTAAGACCTTTTAAAAAAACGATATTTGCATTAAAATGACAGGGTTTGCATTTTAGAAACATAGCTTTGCGTGATTCCTTTCATAAAGTTAAGAGGCTGATCTTACCTCCAGCCAGGTGGTCATACTGTTCTCCAGGATCCCCGGTCCCGAACCCAGCACCTTCTGGCGCAGAGGCGGCAAGGAAGGGTGTCCCGGCAGAGTGGAGAAGCATGATGTCTTCCAGCTTGGGGTAGCTATCCATGGGCGACTGAGGAAAGCTCAGGGGCTCTGAGATCTGGAGCGTGGGTAGAAGCATCTCAGTTTTAGCAGCACACATTCTTCAGGAAGCTGCTGCCGTGAATGAGGAGCAGTGGGGAAACACCACCACGCCTTTGAGAAGATGCTGCCTCTCTCTCTCTATCTGCTGCTGCAAGGCCACACCGCTGCAGGATATCCAGGGCACTCAGGATCTCAGCCTTTTTTCTTCTTAGGCAGCAAAAAATAAAAACAAAAACACTAGTTCAACAATCAGATGAGTCCAGCTTGTTATCTTCAAAATATTAGGATGCAATGGTTAATTAGTTGTAACCATTTGTTGTTGTTTACTTTTTAAAATTTAGAAACTTTTTTTCACTTGTGTATTTCTGTGGGTCTAATGCTTTTTTCGGAGGGAGACCGAAATATGGCTTTAAGTCACTGTTTCTATCGCTCTGCTTCTAATGTTTCTATTAGGCGCTCTGGGCTCTTTCACGTTTCAGAGGATCCCCACTCCTTTATATAGGCTCTCCTGCCGTGACGTAGATGTCCGTATTTGGACTGGAGGAAGCCCATATTTAGGCACTGCGGTGGAAGACACACGGAGCTTGCCAAGCGGAATACGGAGAGCGGAGAAACCGTAAAGAGAGCAATTGCAGCGCACGAATATAAATGTACGTGGTTTACACTTTGGTTGAGGATACTGACACACAAATGGCACATTATCAGTGAGTTCTCAAGCGGCGGGCTCGGCTGAACGCAAATTTCTCTTTTGTAGAAGCACGGTATTTTGGCGGAAGCCCCAGCGCCGGAGCGACATATAAGGTCATGCTTAGACTTGGCTTCCGGTGGGCTGCCACTTCCTTGCCCTTATTTGGAGTTTCCTGAGATGGTGCTGATCAGAGCTTGGCAGTGAATGAGAGACCGAGGCGCAACTGAAGGCCTGCGCTCAAGGGGAATTACAAATGTCAGCATTCTGCTTCTCACTTTCAAAAGCGCTGGCGACCAATATTGACAGGCCTTTTAAACTATTTACAACTTTCAATTCATTTTGATTTCATTTAGAATAATGCAAAAAAAGGAAATGAATAAGAATGTAGCAGAAACTCATTTCTTAAAGGTCTGCAACACATATTTTCACTGTATAATTCCAAATTTACAATTTAACAAATTTCTGTATGTTTTTATAATATATTATAAAAAGACAACAGCCACAGCAACATCAACAACAACAATAATAATAATAATAGAAAGAAAAATAATAATAAAGAAACCGTGTTTGTCCTTGTATGTATGTTTTTTGTCACCCTCTGCATGTCAGCCACGATGGCAGTGGGTACAGAAAGACACATCGCCACGCTTTAATTCCAGCGCGCGAGCATGAAGCGCAGTATGTAAAACTGAACGACTCCTCGGGGATATGGGATGCATTTGGTCCCTTTGCCATCACTAGAGCCAGCAGATGCTACCGCTACCCACTTTTCACAGGGATGAAACTGCGAAATTCATGCGTGCGCTGTCGTATATATTGTACAACAAACTGGAAGCCCCTGTTGCTTACTCAGTGCTGACACACAGACATTTATTGTCCGCTGATTCTCACCTTCAACAGCACCATAAATATAACGTAAAACAGTAAATGGGAAGGATTCATAGCAATTCGGAGCGGTAAATGTTTATTATAAATATTCTTCCTCACTAAAAATATTCACATACCTTATAACGTACTCAGACAGGGTACTGCATGGCCTTATAAATTAATCTCACAAAAAAGCGGCCAGCCGAAAGACTGACTCAGATTGAGGACCGGAGAAATAAGCAACTTGCATTTTCATCAGTTAGCAGTTTTTGGGTCGGCTACGGGGTCCTCTCGAAGTCTGAAGATGGACAGCAGAACAAGCAGCGCATTTGCCTGCCCCCTCACTGCATACCGCCGCAAACTTACGGCTCTGCCCGCTCACATAGACTTATTAGAGAATTGTGAGTCACACGTGGTTTGAAGTGATGACTGAGCGTCCGATGTGCAGGACGGAGCCCGGATTGATCTTCCGGGGAATACCGCTCCAGTGCACGGCTCACCGGCCCTAATGAGGCAGGCTTGCCGGCTGCGACGCCGTCTCACGCCGCCGTTTTGCCGATCGGCCCGAAACACAAACGCTGTTGATCGACTCAGGCGGTTCAGAGCTGCGGCACAACGTTAGGGCAGGATTAACGGATCGCGTGTTTGACAAAAAAGTAAGCATAGTGCAGGGCACTGCCATGAAATAAAATACAAAATATATTAGGTGTTTGATAACAGGGTACTGGGCAAATTGATTACTAAAAATATTACCGTGAACACAATGCAATATCTTTCGAGTGTCACTCCCAAAATTCTCCGTAGCTGGAACTTCGCTGCGACAGATTAAACCACTGACAAATTTTACATGGGTAGCAGAGATTTTTTTTTTTTGACAAATAGGCTACAGCTGGTTCTCTAGTCAGTTTAACCTCCTTTACATTAATATAGAGTTAAAAGAGGTAGAAATAGCATGTTGTTTATTTGTGGGTATAGCAAATCCCACGTTCTAATGTCAGCGTGTGTAGGAGGCGCCGCTATGAAATGACGCTGTAAGTAAATCAGGAGAGGAGGCCTCCCATAGTTCAAAGCGAGTTCTGCAGATGTTTTGCGATGCTGCATCTTTTGCGGCCAAGAGCTGGGATCCCTTAGCAGTCTCAGCCTGTCAATGCTCATCTTAATCCATGCATCCTACGCAGTGAGGCACAAAGTGCAGTTCCCCTGCTGTGCGACTTATCTCTGCACCCTTATTTATAAGCAGGACCTGCCCCCCCCATCTCTCTCAGCAGCTGGTATGTAATTAAGCCTCCCCCCCCCCCCAAAGTCGAGTCGAATCACACCGGTCGCGAGTCTGCTTGTGTAACACCGGGTTCTAATGGCATCACTCGCCACGGCAAGCAGCCTCCCACAACACCGTTCTGGAGTTTGCGGTTCTGCCGCTGACATTATCCCACCGGTGCATGAAGCCCCCCCAGGACCAGAATGTGAGGCAATACATGAAATCTGGAAAGGTAATGTGCTAGCCTTTGTACGAGCAATGCAGGGATTCAAGTGGGGAATCTGCAGCATACTGTAGCTACTCTTTCCAGATGACGTTTCCTTGTAGGGCTGCGCTTTAGGCCATAGCTGTCACTCATCATATTTCAAGGTGGAGTCAAGGTTGGGAATATATATGCAGAAATCCCGTTCGTCGCCACAACACCTTTCATGTGGTCGCTCAATCAGACGGTGAGGACAGACGTTCCACTGTGTCCAGAAACCTAACAGAACTTCCAGATGCTGATCATTCCTTATTTATATACAGACTGAAGCCGGTGACCTTTGACCTCAGTTACTGAGGTCTGCACTGTATCACCTCAGTCAGAGGCTATTCTTCCTCCCGGTGTGATTTCCAGAGGAGGAACTCGGGGATGACATCTATCTGTGTTCTAAAAGCAAATAAATACATTTCCACCTCAGTTCAAATTATTTAGCTAATATTACCCAAGATTTAGCAGCATGACCTGTCATACTATCACAGCATGCAGGACAAAGGACTCAAAGGCGCTCAGTTGGTGAACGAAAATGGGGTTTTATTTAACTGAAAGGCAGCAGGGAAACAAGCGAGACCACAAGGGGTGAAAATGAAAAGGTGAGTACAGGGAAGGACATGGGCAGACAGGAGGAGCGACATCAGTGACCAGACGGGGTCTGAAAGACAAACAGGTACTTAAATACAAGGACTAACAAGATGCGACAAGCAACACAGGGAGGAGACAGAAAGGTGAGACGGACATGATGGGCAGGACGTGACACATAGAGTCTCTAAATTGCCCATAGAGTATGTTTGGGTGGGCATACATGGGACCTGTGATGTACTGGCATCCCATACAGAGTGCGTCTCAAGCTCTCAGTCTGCACTGCTGGGGGTAGGCTCCAGACCCCCTGGATGGATGGATGGATGGATGGATGAAAGTTATCCAGACTCCACTTTTAGCTTGATTCATTTGCTATTGTAAAATTTTGTTTTGCCCCATGTTAATGTAGTTCCACTGTTTATTTACATAACTTTTGTTTCGCTTTGATATAACAAACGTAACGCCCGTACTTCGTATCCTGCAGCTCGGCTGTGGCGATCCTCGTCCCATTCCTCCCAGATTCCCCAGGCCTCTTTTAGCATCTGATGAAATGGAAATGTGCCTTTTACAGTATTTTCCCCTCTGATTAGGGCATCGAGGAAACACACAATGAAGGAGGAAATCTCCCCTGACCCTCTGTAGGTGTAACTTTACTCTATGGCTCAGTCAGGATACTCCATGCCCTTTGATGGCTGATAAAAGACCTTTTCTTTTTTCCCAGCTCCTGGAACATAATATTTCCAGCAAAGGAAAGGCAGCTTATCTCGTTAAAGTGGCCACAGTCTGTTTATTTGAGGACTTCTCGATCTGTGTGCCACACCTTACGCACCAAGTTTAGAACACGAATAGGAACTGCATTCGTCCATAATTGCGATGTCTTCCTGGCACAACCGCATGTTAAGCATGCTGTAATGCGACTCAAAGTGTCTGCCGCAGCTGCACCTACCTTGAGGAATAGGTTGTATAAAAATGCATAGTTGCCGAAGTTATTCATTGTTTTTAACATTCTTGTTTCTTTGTTATTTTTTTTTTAATTTACACCTGCCAGGTCTTTTTTGCCCACTCACCATGGGACTGAGTTTCCCAGAGCTTTCTTAACGCCATCTTTTAACGTAGATCTTACGAAAGACGCAGCGTTAAGCAGGCTTCAGGAAACTCACCGCATGTCCTCTAGAAATAGAAAAGACATATCTTGTAAAATTTTCCATTTTTCCCACCAAAGGGTTTTCTTAACCTTACAAAACACCATTTCCTGGTACTTAGCATTTACAAAATCTAATACTCGAGTCTCCTTCCATTCTTCTGTCCAGATGGCTTTCATATTCCTAAACAATTCCCAAAGTTAATCAGAGCCAAGTGGGTGCAATAATTTCAGGGATTTCCTGAGAACACACCTCTCCTGGTAGATATTTTGTAGCAAGAACAAAATGATGTAAATGAACTTCCGCAAAATGCAATTACTATTCTGGATTGAGCGTTGAACAGTGAAGCAGGAAGTGGGTGAAGCGGTGGTTCAGTGGGTGGCGCTGCATCCGCGTTCCTCTAGGGTTGCGGCTTCTGTCCCAGCTCTGCGATATGTTTGTGTACATGTGGGTACTCCGGCTTCCTCACACACCTCAAAGAGATGCGGTTTCGGTGAAACGGCGTCTCTCAGCCGTCCATCCTGCTCACGGTATGGTGTCTTGTTGGGGTTGAGGAGGCTTGTG